GTGTGTGTTGTAGTCTCGGCTCCCTGCCACCTTTGATTGACGGACTGCAGCGAATTGGGTGCGCCACAGCAGGCCTCAAGTAGCACACACACATACACACAGACAGAGAAGCGTAATTCAAGCCGGAAATAAATACCGTAGCAGCTTGAAAAAAAGAATATAAAGGAAATATATATATTTTTGCACACAGGACTGGAGTAAGATGAACAGCTTGGCGAATTCCCCGGTGTACAAGCAGCTCTTCCGCCCACTCAGCAGCAACACAATGTTGGGGCTGTGCGTCGCGACGGGCTGCATGGGTGCACTGACGTACTGGTGGTACGCCCGCTCCATGCACGTGACACTGCGCCGCACACAGGAGAACTGCCTGGCAATATCGGAGAGTGCCTTCTCGCAGAGCCGGCGTCTGCTTAAAGGCCTCGAGGAGGAGTGGGCGCGCGACATGAAGGCGCGCGACGGATCGGTGCGGCAGCTGGAGCTGCAGAACGTGGAGCAGACCCGCAGCATCGCCCGCCTGGACGCAGCAATGAAGTTATGCATCGCTCCAGGGCCGCAGGTGCCGGAGTGAGCGTGGGCGAATGGCAAATGATGGGAGAGTGAAGAAGCATCACCACCTGATCACTTGCGGCAGCACATAAACACATATAGATAAAGATATGTGTGTCTGTGTTGGTATGCTCCGCAGGTGATTTTTTTTTTGTTTTTGTGGAGTGGGTGGAGCTCTTTTTCTTCTTCCGCCGGTGGCGGTGATGGGTTTCATACGCGATCGTACTGTATTTACCTGCCGGCCGCCGTTGTTTTTGTCGTGCCACGCGTGCACAGTAACGCAAGAGGAAGAACAAGCGAAAGGGGGGCAATTCACACCTGTCCCATCGCGCACTTTGTGGCTCTTACAAAGTTGCATAGCAGTCTTCTGTTGTCTGTTGTTGCGTGTGCGGCTGCGTCTTCCTCCGCGGGTGTGCCCTCGCTGCACATATGTGTGCTGTGCCATAATTCACATTGTTTCTTTTTGTCTTTCCTTCTCTCTTTCTCTCTCTCTCTCTCGCTCTGTCTTTGTCCCTCCCTGTGCGCTGCTGCGTTGTGGTGGTGGTGCCTCTGCTAGCACGCTGCTCCTCCCCTCAGCGCCCGAGCGAGACGACCCTCCCCCCTCTCCACGGCAAAGACGAAAGAAAAAGAACAAAGGTGTCTCGAAACGGATAATCCAGCAGAGCACAGTTTAGAGGGCCTGAAGGTGTGGGCATATGCCACGAAAGGACAGAGACGTGTGGGACCCGCCGGAGGACCTCAAGCCGGTGGAGGCGCCGCCGTCGGCGTTCATGCAGCACTTCCAGGACCGCGCCGTGAGGGTTGGGAAGGACGGCAGCAACGCGCAGCTCGTACGGATGAAGCAGACAAAGCCCATTCGCTGGTCGAACGGCAAGAAAAACGATGACGCCTCGGCACCGCCGCCGGGCGCACTGGCTAAGAACGCCCTGCGTGCGCTGCCAAGGAATAGAAAAAACGTAGGTGGCATTGTTGCGCCCGATGAGGTGTGCGCGAGGGAGCCACAGCAGCCGCTGCGTGCCCCTCACACCAACGGCTCAGGCAATGGCAGCAACAGCAGTAACAGTTGGGGACGACTATATGGGGCACAGTCGCCTAGCGGTGCCTGCAACAACAATAGGGGCACACGGAATCCACCCATGCCTGTGATTGAGCTTTCACCAGAGAGGAACATTAACTTGCGCAAGGCAGCTGGGTCTGAAATGACATACACACCCTCTATTCCATTAGACACTCCACTGCCAGACAGAGGCATGGATTCACCAGATGTTCTCACCATTGAACCCGTGCAAAAGTTGAAGCCGGTCGGTGCGTTTCCCCTTGCATACCTCTCACCGGACACGGTGGATGAGGTGCATACACTAGATGGCTTGCGGAAGCCCTTATCTCGTCTACCTCCGCGCAAGATCACCCTTAATAGTGAGTCGTGCATGCCTAAACCAACGATGGCGAAGCAATCCCCTTGCACACTTCTCAAGGAATGCAGTGACGGCAGCAAATCTCCTCGTGCGGTTCAGGCAGACAACGGCGCTTCATCTGAACGGAGTGGGGATGATAGTAATTTGGAAGCAGTGGACGACTACGAAGACGACGCGCCGGAGATCCCGCTGTACCAGCCGATCGGGTTGTTTCTGCACCCCCCATCTACCGCTCCAAAGGGCAGATGCAAACCGTCCGCTAAGGCTAAGAAACCAACCGCAACTGGCGTCATGAGACCGTCGAGCGATGATGGTCCCTGTAGTCGCAACAGAAAGGTGTCAACAGGTCGTTCGCTTCGCAACGCCATGTCAAACTCGGCGCCCCTGTCGGGATCAGCTCCGCAGCCACCACGGCTCCGACCGCTGCCCCAGATACAGGCTATGGGCACGTCAACAACCAGCAGCACTGCCGGCACGGACACAAGAGAGAATGAAGATGAAACAGGGAAAAAGAAACCCATAAAGTACAAATCACACGGCTTGAAAGACTACAAGATCATGATGGAGCAAGTGGCGAACCAAAAACTTGGAGGTCTGGGGCCTGCAGACACCGACGAACAGCGTCAAGCAAGGGAGCGAATGCAGCGGCAACGGCAGTATGGCCAACAGGTTGAGAAGCAGGCCTCGGAGATGATACGGGAAAAGCTACAGCAGCAACAGCAGCCAAACAGTGGACGGGGCACTGCCACAAGTGACAGCCCTGGGTCCATACAGCAGCCACCACCACCTGAGCGGATTCAGGCACAGGAGCGACGGGCACGGGCGTTGGAGTACGCCCGCAACCTGCCGAGACCAGAGCCTTCTGCAGGGAAGAGGCCGCACGACGATGATGACTCTCCGTCGTCAGAGGGGCGCGCCATGCGCTGGCGCACACCACAGGACGAGGCGGCGTGGCTTCGCGAAAAACGTCTGGTGGAACTGGAGACCAAGCACCGCATTGACCGGGAGCGGGTGGCGGCCGTCAAGCGGCAGCTAGGATACTGATTCTTTTTTCTCTTTCACACCTTGTGATTATTTCTCTCTATATCACTTTGCAGTTCGCTTCAATTTTTTGTTTTGCCGCTACTGTCACGAAGTAGCATGGTGAGTGTGTTGGTATGGGCGATATGTAATGGAAACAGGAGTC